CGCATCGGATCCAAGATTGACATAGGTAGGATAGCGTGTAGGTCCAAAGTCATAGGCGAATTCCACGGCGAGCTCTTTCTCGTTGCAGATCGTTGAGCCTGTTGAGGCTCCTGATTCTTCCTTGTTGTGCGCTTTCAAGACGACTGCGTATGTAATCACTTCTATCTGGAAACGTACAGAGGCCACTGTGATGTCCTCGGTCGCGACAGTAGTAACATGCCGTGAGATACTTTTTACATGTTGCTCCTCGTGCACAGATTTTTTCAAGGCACGTGCCACATCTGTCATTGCTTATTATGATTTCCCTCCTGGCGTATGGGTCTCGAACATTCGGACACGAGTCGGAATAGTGGCCGGCGATGTCGCAAAAAACACACTTCATGTAACGTTCATTTGCCTTACTTATGTTTCCTTGTCCGTATCTACGCGGCGGGCAAAGAGGTTCATCCTCATACTGGCGCAGTATAGCTTCAAAATCTCGTAACTCTTGCTCCGTAATCCTGATTTCTAGTTCGATATCGAACGCCCTTCTTCTGCCTACCTCCCGATCCGGGTTCTGTTCGCGCATAGCGTTTTCATCCATGTCTTCAGCTTGAGCATTTAACTCATGATCAGCTTCATCGTTTTGTTCTCTGTCCTCCCAGTTCGGGATTTCGTCGTCGTTGATGTCCGATTCTTGGTCATCAGACTCGTAATCAAATTCGGACTCTTCGATTTCCTCGTCGCTTTCTTCTCTTTCTTGCTCTTGTCCTTGTACTTGATCTTCTCCTTCATCGATTCCTTCCATGAAGACTTCATTGTTCTTGATTATTTCCTTTTCCTCTTGAATCCCTTGGATTCCCTCGCCCCGGCTTTTGAGTGTCCTGGTGGTTACTGCCTGTAGAGTCTGCGAGGCGGAGTTTTGAAGATCCAGCGTGATTTTTTGAATTTCTTCGAGCTTTTCCCGTACTTCCTTCTCGAACGATGATGTTTTCTTCTCCATTTCATTTTGGGCTTCCATGCGAACTTCAACAAGTGTCGATTGAAGGGTAGACAGGGTTTGAAGATGGTCGCAGACAACATGCTCCATGGTTTCCATGTCGATGAGAAGTGGATTTCCTTCGCTTGTCTCCTGTGGCTGGCTCATGATGACCTCCCAAAACTCCCTCGTCATAAATTCCATGTTCGGTCTTCTTGGAACCTGGGCATCTTGATATTGTGTGTTTTTCTTCTTTTGTGCCGCACAGGTTGTTATGGTGGAACCGTTTATTGGTCAACGTTTCGACAAACCGTCGTCTTCAGGACCTGAAACCGGTTCAAAGTTCTAGCTCCTAACTCTTCCGGTGAAGCGCCTAATCTTGTTCAGTTCCCCGGAACTCAAAACAAAACAAAATAGAACGATCCCAGTGAACGAACCAACCTGTGATCCCACCAGTCTCCCAGCAGCCTCCTCTCGTTAGTGACCAAGATAAAATGAGACACCATGGACAATGAGTGTCCTACGTGTCGCATGTGGTGGTCTCATAATCCACAAAAAGGAATGAAAGGCAAGAATTCATTTGTTATGGTCATGCATTCATTTCGGTTGTTCAGCACTGGATTTTTCACACGGATATAGAACGCCTCTAACATCTTCCTAGCACCGATGTCGTTTTCATAAGCTAGAATTTTGCATTTGATGTCAAAATCATCGCCTTGATGTAATTCTACTCGGTGCTTGCCAAGCGGAGTAAGCAGATTTCCGCGCCTTTTTCCTGCTATATGTTCTTTAATGCGAACGCCAACATCCTGCCCGTCTCTCCAACATAAACTTCGTCACAGGTTGAACATTGAAGTTGGTATACTACCCCTCGTTGCGCACAGTCTCCTTGCCTTCCATATGGGCAAACAACGCAGTTTTCCGTAGTGCACGCGCGGTCATAGAGTCTATTGCGGATTAGCTGACGTTTGATATTATCTCCTGGTGTATTTATCAAAGCTTATGTTATCAAGTTTATGTTGGTGAGACGGGCAGGATGCTAGGCGTGCGCATTAAAGAACATATGGCAGGAAAAAGGCGCGGAAATCTGCTTACTCCACTTGGCAAGCACCGAGTAGAGGGACATCAGGGTAACGATTTTGAAATCAAATGCAAAATTCTAGCCTTATGAAAACGACATCGGTGCTAGAAAAGATGTTAGAGGCGTTCTATATCCGCGTGAAAAATCCAGTGCTGAACAACCGAAATGAATGCATGACCATAACAAATGAATTCTTGCCTTTCATTCCTTTTTGTGGATTATGAGACCACCACATACGACACGTAGGACACTCATTGTCCATGGTGTCTCATTTTATCTTGGTCACTAACGAGAGGAGGCTGCTGGGAGACTGGTGGGATCACAGGTTGGTTCGTTCACTGGGATCGTTCTATTTTGTTTTGTTTTGAGTTCCGGGGAACTGAACAAGATTAGGCGCTTCACCGGTGAGTTAGGAGCTAGAACTTCGAACCAGTTTCAGGTCCTGAAGACGACGGTTTGTCGAAACGTTGACCAATAAACGGTTCCACCATAACAACCTGTGCGGCACAAAAGAAGAAAAACACTCTCTCGTCATTTTTTGCAGGGCAATAAGCAGAGGAGGAATGGAAATAAAGGAGTTCTTCAATTGATATCTACAAGAACAGAAATTTCATACGGAGATTGTCTACCTCAAAGAATCAGAGAATCAATTTCTAAGATGCGCTCTTGAGCAGGTTTGTTCGATATACGTACTCTACGAGCTTTTTCTTCAAGAGCTGTCGTTGCCTTGGTGTGGATGAAGTTGTCGAAACACAGCGATACTATTTTGTCGTAGAGCTGGTGAGGATCCGGCAATGGTGGTATCGCTTTTTGAAGTTGATCAAGGTTCTGTTGGGCTTGACGCAACTGCTCTTTGACGTCGACCTTGTCATCTATCTGAAATAAGAAAGTAAGTTTGAAAACATGTGGCAAGGTGCACCTAACGTGACTACCTTCGTGGGCATGATTTTGATTTTGTGGTTGTTGTTGAGGCGCACCTAAGGTTGCTGAGGGCGTGGCGTACACTCTAAATGGACACTCTTATACGGCTTATTTACGATGGTTTCTCTATAAGTATAAGTATAAGTTTATTACGTCTGCATATGGCAAGCGTGAGAAAAAAGAACACAATTTAACTTCAACACCTATACAAACAACCAATTAAACCAAACCAGAGATAATGTGGTCTATTAATCAGTCTCAAAAAACGTTAGGACTCAGCATTGCTTCGAAACAAATGAACTACACGGCGTTTGAATTGTGCAAGCGGTAGTGAGGCGGGTATGTTTTTCACTAATTTCAATAATCACTGCCGGCCCTGAAAGTGAAACTCCTTGCTCGTAACTTAGTTTTAGGTCTTGCCAACGAAATTTTCATAGAGCCTCCTCTAGTTCTCGAATATGTCAGCTTGAAGACATTGGAGCCGTGACCACACATGCCCTGTACCAGTTTATGAACCATGCAGAGATCAAAAACTCTGCGCCTTAATTCTAAAGATGTCAGTCCCAGATACTGATTCCTAATGGCTGCTTTCGGTATTTTGGAGTACAAAAACCACCGATTCGAATAAGCAGTTTACGAGTAAAGTTATTCTGAACCTTCTCAAGCGCGTAGACATGCTTCCTTTTGTGGTATTGAATACGTAGTGCTGGATTCAACCAGGGGTCGCACATACGACTTGTAAGCACGCAGCAAGAGCTCCTTTATTGGCTGAGGACAGTCCTTTGAAGATTTGGAAAGTTCGTGAATTAGCCATTCCTGACCCTCGTTTTGATATGTTCTGAGAAATCCAATTTGTTGTTGTAATAAAAGCCGAGGTCTCTGACAGATTCTACAGCAGAGAGAGGGACACCATCCACAGTGTACGATCGCGTTGGTGAAGTTCCAGACATTAATTGCATGTACACTGTCTTGTGTGGTGCTATAGGCAATTGCCACTTCTTGGACCAGTTTACCGTTAGATCAATTGCTTCCTGAAGTCTCTGCGAATCTGTCACTGCTAAGATTGGCTTATAAATTTTTATATCGTCTGCATATGCCTTTGCAGTAACGCCTGCTTCATGAAGCATATCAGGAAGCTCGGCCGTAAAAACATTAAAGAGCACCGGTGACAGCACACCTCCTTGGGGCACACCACTGATCACCCGCCTGACTTCCGAAAAAGACTGGCCAATTTTAACCTGGAACGTTCTATTGTTCAGGTATTCGGAGATCCATTTATGAGAATCGGGTGAAACTTCAGAGCCTTCAGCTTGATGATCAGTTTTTTGTGTGAAACCCTATCGAACGCTTTTGCAAAGTCGAAAGTAAATGACGTCACAAGAGCGCCTCTCATCAAGAGCTTCGGTCCAGTCTTTGAGGCACTCAATCATATTAGTTTCCACGGAGTGACCTGGGGTAAAACCGTGCTGGTGTCTTGAAACTATATGATTGACCGACAAATGATGACTGACATGTTTTTTCAAGACTTTCTCGAACAGTCTGCAGAAAAAGATGTGATACTCACAGGGCGATAATTCTCGGGGTTCCATGATGGTTCCTTCTTCAGTAGCGGTGTAACGAAAGAGTGCTTCCAACGCAAGGGTACCTCTCCGAAGATAACGACTGATTGAATATATATGCAAGAGGACCGCAAATAACAGCAGCTATTTTCTGCACGACAAAGAACGGCACAAAATCAGGAGTGACTGAGGAGGAACCGGCCAGTTCATCAATAGCTCATACAACTCAGAGGCGATGAACCAGGGAACCTCCTTCATTGGCTCAACAGATGGACAGAACGAATCAGGGATGTTCCCATCATCTTCCTGGAAGACGCTCTCGAAATGATTCGGCTAACATATTGGCTTTATCTACTGGAGAGATTGCAACAACTCCCTCCCTTCTCAGACAACCGACTCGCTTGAGGTCCTGGATCCTCCTGCTCAAATACTTGAAGAAGACTCGAACATTGCCTGACTCAATAATTTTTCTCTCTAAGTAATCGTTATATTTTTTGAGATGTATGTGGAATCTCTTTGTAAAAGCTTTATAATCATCCCAGTTTCCCGAATGTCTGGCTTCGTTGAACAGACACTCTCTGTGCTCCCACATATTCTGCAAGTGCTTGGGAAGGTAGACTGACTTCACGCAAGGAACTTTCTTCCAGGGGACATAATAGTCAATCGCGGTATGCAAGACAGATAAAAAAAGCTCATACTTTTCATTCACACTACTTTGAGATTCTAGCAAGGGCACCCAGCGTATTTGAGTTAGACTATGGCATAGATCCCTAAAATTGCATTTGGAATACATCCGCTTGAAAACGTAGGCAGAACGCGAAACCTCACTCATTACTTCAAATACAATACTATTGTGATCACTCGAACCTACAGGAGGAACAACCCTTGAATCTCTTACCAAATGCGAAGTATTAGAGAAAACTAAATCAAGAATATTGTCACCCTTGGTGGGTTCTTTTACATGCTGGATAAGGTTGTGACATTGGACTAGCTCATTTATGCAGACCTCTGTAGCTGAAACAGGGCAGTTTTCCGACTGGTGACAAAATTCCGGCAGATTGAAATCACCCACGATCACACTATGTTTCTCGCATGATATCAAGTCGCTGAGTGCTTTCATAAGTAGTTCGGAATTTGCTCTGGAGCATGAGGGTGCTCTGTAAACCACTATCCTTCTATTTTATAAAGCGCTAACTTTGTGTGTCGGTTTGTGTATCTGTATGTGTGTATGTATGTGTGTCCGTCCGCAAAATGAAGTGAGTGAGAAGGAAGCTCATGGGATAAACAAACCGCTAACAAATCGGGTAGCTACAGGATTTGAGATATCAATGTTTTGTAGCAGGATAGTTGTGATAACACTCTTAGGGCTATATAAACACCTGCTTAGCACACTTCCGTTCATTCCACATGGTGCTGCAGTGGCAGCTGGAGGGCAGTGGAGAGGAAGGGAGGATGAGGAAGGGAAGCGAAAAATCTACCGTCATATCATGATTGTGTCCCTTCTACTGTATGAAACACCATTGTGTTGCATACGCGTCACTTCCACGAGGTGTTGGTGTCACAGGAGGAAGGGACCATAGCGGAGGATAGAAAGCTTGCGCAGGAAAGGAAGGTCCCGGCGGTTGACGGGGGACTAATCTGGTATATATAAAACTAGAATCACAAAACACGTCTGCACAAAGTATCTCAAAAGAGTCCTCTACCGATTCTGCAAATACTAAAGATAGCGAAAGGCAATGCTGGGCTAGAAGAATGACGCCACCACCCGGTTTCTTGGGCCGATCACATCTAACGAAGATATAGGTGTCCACAACCGTACCCAGTAAGCCGGCCAAAGTGTGACTGGGTTTCAGCCATGTTTCCGAGAAGGCGAAAATATCGTAATTTTTGGTCAACAAAATTTTTACGAAGTCCTTGTTTTTCGAGACTGATCTTACATTAGCATAAAAACATCTCAGCGGTCTAACATACCGAGGAGAACCATTCAGTTTCCCTCCCGATGGTGTTGGATCGACCGCCACTGCGCACATTACTATGATTAGAGGGCCGGTTATTACGATCTCTGACAGGTTGTGCACCGTTCTCGAGCCCAGCTGTGCGGCTGCGTTCCTCCCGCCTGCGCCTCCTTTGCTCTGGGGTCAGGGATTCTCTTGAATAGACGCCCTGCCCAGGGAAGTAGCGCAGCCGGGAGGCCCTTTTTACCGCCAACCGCTGAAAAACTCGTGACGGTAGCACAACCTTCAAGAGCCTGTCCTTGCCTAACAGAGGCCTGCCTAGACGGTATACACACATCGGATTGCATTCAATACTAAGAAAGTCTAGAATATTACATACATACGCTGGAATAATCGTAAGCAAGACGTTCCCTAGTACTTTGAGATTTCGCTTCAGGTATACCACTGACTATAACAGAGCGAAGCCGTTCTACTTCCTGATAGGGTACCCCCACTTCAGTAGGAGCGGGAACACTACCGGAAGTCGTTCGGCCCCGATCCTCGAACACGAGCTCACAGCTAGTACGAGGTGGTGACTCACAAGGCACTGACTTGCGAACACAATCTAATTCTTGCCTCAATTCCATGTTCTCCAAGCGAAGCGACTTCAGTTCCCTTGTGATTGCAGCAATCACCTTCTTGATCCCATCCGCGATGCGACTAGACCTCGCGATCGCCTCCACCTGCTCCTCCAGCTCCTTAGGAAGCACCGCATCCACCACTTCCGGATCGCCTTGCTTCTGCCCATCAGAACTGCTCGCTGCACCACTGCGTAGATCCATGGCGAAATATATCAATTGATCGATGTCAAAAAATCAAATCAATCTAACCGCAGCGGCAATCGTTCCGCTGAATTCCACA